TCATTGTATGAAGTACGTGGTAAAATTATCCCACTCCTGTTTCTGTGGGATGACAAAAGATCAAACAAAATTGTAATTAGTAAGCAATGAAATGACCACACTATGCAGATTAGCATGCTTGTTTCTCAGGGTTTTTTTTCATTCTTTGAAAGGTGTTGAATAATGTAAGTCTTGCTTCTAGGAGATTTCATTTAAGAATTGAGATCTGGATAATCTAGATAATCTAGTCTAGATAAATTTCCAAGATGGTGAAAGTCCTCAAGGAAAAGACTTGGGAGGAGTAGCTGAGGTCTCTTGGTTTGTTAAACTTTGAAGAGAAGACTGAGAGGTGACTTCATCAGTCTGCAGCTTCCCCAAGGTGGTCAGTGGAGAGGGAGAGGCTGATGTCCTTTCTCTGGTGACCAGTGACAGGACACATGGAAATGGTGTGAAGCTGTGTCAGGGGAAGTTCAGAATGCACACTAGGAAAAGATTCTTCACTTCGTGGTCAGTCATGGGAATAGGCTGCCTGTGGAAGTGGTCATGGCCTATGGTTGTCAGAGTTCAAGCAGCATTTGGATGATGCCTTTAGGCATATAGTTTAGTTTTAGGTAGTCATTTGAGGAACTGGGTGTTGGTCTTGAAGATCCTTTTGGGTCCTTTTTAGCTTGAGAGATTCTGTGATTGCATTTTCTATGCATCTGCCACTTAGGACAGTAAATAAACCTTTGGTCTTAAATGCCATGGTTTTCCTTACATTTTTAGAAACAGTCTCTCTTCTGTCATTCTTGAGGGTATGAAGTCCGGATTCAACAGTATGAAAGGGTTGATTCTTAAAAGAAGAAATCTTGGTTTTGTAGGACATTTGGCTAGCTGTTCATCAGAACTTTCTAACCTCTCATTTTGTCTGCTAGCTAATGTATTCTGCTGCTTTGCTGTGCACATGCTCACTCATAAATCAATAAAGGAGTTCGGAAAGTTCACTGTTGTTCCGGCTCTTTCTGTGTTTGTTGAGAATAATGATGTCTGTTCAGACAAATGTTAGAATAATCACAAATTTGATGTGCAGCCTTGCCAACACTTCAGAAATGTGCTTCAGAGAATTGGAATACAACATTTTGCAAAAAACAGAGGAAATTTTAAAACTTATTTCACTGACAATGTGCAACTTCAGTTTGTTCTACAACAGACTCTGAGGCTTTTTTAAAAGAGGGATTCATCAAAGCATTCTACATATATTTGTCATCAAAATTGTTCATGTAAAGAGTTAAACCTTAGATACAGCCATGTTCACTGGCTTATGAAACTCCACAGATCTCATAAACTAGAGTCTTCTTTTCTTGTTGAAAGTTTAGATAGGCTCAAGAGGATGCTAATGAGGTACCTTGAAGATGAGCCTACTGAGGAATATTAAATACACAAAATCACATCTGTCTCAGGAAGTAACCTGAACTGAAAGGAGTTAGAGTGTGGATGATAGCAGGAGGGGGTGTTGCATGTGGTTCTCTTGTTCTTATTCTTTACTGTATATCATTTCATGGCTGTCTTTGATGGAAGCAAGGTGCTGATGGGAATCAATCTTTGGTCTGGTGTGAATAAAGGAAGATGTCTTACTTCAAGTGTATTGCATTGTCTTGAAGATCAGTAATTCCATATGACTAGGAAGAACGAACAGGAAAAATATTTGAACTGCTGATACCTACCTATACCTTTCATTATGAAGTTCTTAGAGATCCACTCACTAGGACAAAGTTGTTTGTAAGGCTTCATGTGATTCATTGATAAGATGCATCCTTGTGGCTGGAAATTAAACTCTTTGATTGGGGCCTAGCACAATTTTCTCTTAATTGCTTTAAAGGGATTTATTCTTAAAATATTCATTTGTGCTTCTTTTTTATGGGTCCAGAATTCCTAGGGATTTCTTTTAATCTTCAGCCTTAGGAGTTTTAGTAAGAAAAAATTGTTGTTTTAGTAATGCCTTTGGATTTGATAGACAAAAGCATTCCTAGCTGTATTGTTGTGATCACCAGCAACATTTCACTGCAACAGTTACAAGCAGCACTGATACCATGAAACAGATTTTAAGTTCATCAGGTCTGCTCCAAAGTCGAGGAGATGATTTTCACTGGAAGCCTAAAGAGCAGTTAAACATTTTCTTTCTTGGTGACTTGTTTTTTATAAATCTGGATTTGTCTTGTCCTGTTTAAGATTATTGGAGATGAGCAGTCTTGTGTACTTCATGTTGATAAAGAGGACCTTGTATCTTATTTTGTCAAGACAGTGAACATTCATTTCCTGAAAATGAATAATAGATTTTGATTAATAATGGCTTTTTTTTTTCTGTTGCTTTTAAGCTGCTGATTGAATTTACTGATAGTGCTTGAAAGATCCTTAGATTTAATTTAGCTATTCCAGATTTCCTTCCATTGCTACCCTGCAAAGTCTTCTATCTACTTAACTCTTCCCTTGGGTATAGTCACAGCTTGATCAAATTTGTTGTGTATTTTCATTTCATGATGTTGTATGAATTAACATCAAAGTGCCACCTTCTTGGGACATGTCCATGCCAAAGGGTGTTGGCAAAGATCCTACTTAGTGTTAGACTGGGCAATGAGAGGACTCAATTGTCTCTTGAAGTTCTGATGTAGAAAGGTGTTTTGTGTTGACATCCTGGTTCTGAATCTTGTATGGAGCTGGTAGATATAAATACAACTGCTTATTTTAAAATGATGGCAGAATACAGTGTTTTAATGCATTTGATAATGTGAAAACTGACATCAACTCTTCTAATCTGTGTTCTTTTTCCTTCTAAGAGTGTCATCTGCTTTTACACTACAGTGATTGCTGATTGAGAAGGAAAAGTTGCCTACTAAGCCAGCAGTGGTATTTTCTGTATCTCATGTTCATAGCAGCTATACCAGACCTTCCTGACATTTTGTGACAGCCAAGATTACCATATGATGTTGGAAGACTTCAAGCTACATCTTTTTGATGTGATCTTGTTGTGATTGCAGCTCTGACTGGGGGAACTGCCAGCCTTTCATGTGAAGCATACAAACAAATAGTGGGAAGCAGGGAGAAAACTCTCTTATTCTGGACTTTTTTTTTTTCTGATTGTGATGTTTTCTGTACAAGTGTAAGGTTTTACAAGAAGTAGCAAGGCTTCATGGTAGTCTGGAAAATAGGTCAAAAAGATGTTCCCGCTAAGGAGATGTGCACTAAGGCACAGGCTTCTGATCAAATACACAATTCCAGTTGGCATGAAGTTTGGCATTTATTTTAACCTCTGGAAAACTGAATAGAAACTAGCTGTGTTTCTGCTGAGTGTGTGTATGTATATATATATATATAAATCCTATATTTTTCTATGCAATTTCAGTATGGACTGTATTACATGTGTTGGAGTTCTTAGTGCTGGACTGAGTAACTGAAATTTGGCATGCCAACTGAAATGCAAATTTTTGTCTTTTCACGTGATTATTGAATTGCAATTTCTGTATTTTTAACATTTAAAAGGTTTTGAAAAGAGAGAAAAATCCTTCAGTTAAAGATGGATATACTAAAATTATTTTTGGGTAGTCACTAAGTTACTGTGATTTGCAGCTGTTACACAAAACAGAAAAAGTTATGTCTAACTCGATTCTATTAATTAAATGTGTATAAGCAATCCATAAAAGTATTTAAACAGTGATATATAAAGGATATAAAGGTCCATATGGACTTGTGAGTCTCCTGGTATGGAACACAGTACAAGATGAGTTTTAAATTGTGAGCACCTTTACCAGTTTACTAAAACTTCTGCCCAGCATTAGGCATAGCACTTAAAAGAAAATACCTAGGACAAAATTACAAGAAATGCTTTCTACTCACATGTTCTTGTGGTATTTAAAATCTGCTTTTGGAAGAAATCCACTGCTGTTGTTATCCTTTTTGAAAAGCGTGCGTCACTGGCATTATGTTTGATTTCATAAAAATAAATCTTTAAAAAATAGAAACGGTGATTTTTTTAAGATCAAAGGGTGAGCACCTTTATCAAACAAGATTAACAGTTCTATAGAAAACCTTGGGAGGGATTTATTCTCTGTGTATAATCCTTTAATGATATCCTGTGTTACAAATTCATCAGAAAAAATGTGAACTGTTCCTTTGTTTCTGGCATTTCAAAGACAACTCTTTCTCCAGAATTCTCATGAGCCAGAACCTGGGTTGATTTATAGACTATTCTTTTCAAAAATGTAAACAATATGTCAAGTCATTAGATTACTAAGTGTAACAAAGACCAGGGTTTTCAGTCACATTTATGAGTTCACAAATTCTCATTTCTTGGAATGCATGTGTACAGCTAGGTTGAATAATTGCTCAGTGCTGGCAATTTAGATGATCTAGACTTTTCCAGAATGTCATGATTTGTATTTTCACCAGTGAGTAATTTTTAGAATTGTTGCATCTATGAGAGGTGAATGATTGATGGGATTGGTTGTCCCTCAGATTTAGTCTCTGATGCAAAAAAGCAACCCTAGTCAGAAAGGCAGCAGGCTCACTGCCCTCTGTGGTTAGGGCATTAGCTGTAAATGCAAAGCTTAGGAGATGTACTTTTGAAAGAGTGTGTGTGTATGTGTTCAATGCACTGTTTTCCAGAAAAATTTATTTGGTAATATTTTCTTATATATTATTGTTATTATATAATAATAACAATAATAATAATAATAATAATAATATGGAGTCCTTCCTACATAAACACTCAGTGGTCATTTCATCATCAAGAGCATGAGTTTTAACACTTTGCTGTTAAGTGCAGGTATGAGATAATTATTCCCCTCTGTTTACAAGAAATTCTCATATTAGAGGTAAGACACAGTTACGTGTGTGATGTGTTTTTTTATTGCTCCAATATCTTACACAATGAAAGTGGTTTTCAAGGACAGCCACCTGCAATGTTTATTTTACTTCATTCTTTTGAAATGTAAATCTAGAACTATCAAGTAATCTATTAATTTTTTTTGTTTGTTTTTTTTCCCCAGACTGATCTTGATTATGTTAACAGTGTTGTTGCAAGCCTGGAAAGAGAGTAAGTTGTAGTTTTGATTGGGGATTTCTTAATTTATTGATGATAAAATAAATCAGTTTGTAATAAGCAATTAAAAATATTCTGGAAATAAAAGATCATGCCTTTTTGTTCTGTGGAACTTTGGACTTTGGAACAAAAAAGTGAGGCAAATTAAGAGGCAATGATTCAATCAGTTAAACTGTAAAACAGTAAGTGGGATTAAATTATTTGATGCACCATAAACAGATGGGATTGTCTAAACATGAATGGAAATTTCTGACATCTGTGTTAGGGCCTTGTATTCTGTATGTTCAAAGAGAACTGTAGGAAGAAAAATCACTTGTTTCTGAGAAAAAAACAAAAAAAAAATTAGAAGGTAGTTTGATTCTGATTGGCAGAAGGTGATAGTGCTCTGAAGGACACACTGAGGAAAACAATACTTTTTTCTATACTACTGTTCTTCTAAATGCCTCATTTGAGCAAGTCCTCACAACCAGACACAATAACTGCTCCAGCAGACAGCGAGCAGGAGCTACAGGACTCAGAATCTCTCATGTGACTTCAGGATCTTTCTGTTGACAGGTTTTCTACAGAGATCAATTCTGGCTTGGTGGAAGTAATAGCTCCTCCTGCAACATACTATCCTGACTTGACAAACTTGAAAGAAACATTTGGAGACTCAAAAGAGAGAGTGAGGTAGGTTTATTCCCCCAGATCTTTTCCCATCTCCTCCCACACCCACACTTTGGTTGTTTATAAAACGGCAAGTGGGATGTGAATTCTTGAAATGTTTTCTTACTGTAATTCTTGCAAGTGTGGGGATGCTAAAAGTGCTCTGTGAATCCATCTCATTCCTAGCTACATGCTGTTCTGTGCATGATCAGAACCTTTGCTTGGTTGAATCCATTTAGTGTTAAATTTTGGGAGGAGAACTGAGACTTTTGATACACTTTTATTCCTTTTTAATGGGGAGTCTTTCATTTGCCGTTTTTCTTCATGAAACACAGGGTAAAACCCAGTAGTTCTTGTTGAATTACCATTTTAAATGCACATGTGTTTTTAGTGAAATGTCAGGTAGTTGTCACAAAGTCAGGTTCAAATTAAACCAGTTTGATGTCTGTATTAAAGCATAAGGTGAAAGCTTTGTTCCTTTTTTTTTTCCCCCCCAGACAGTGGATTTCCTGAGGGAACAGTGCCAAAAACAGCTGTCCTAACATTTCACTAATATGTGTCATTCTTTGTAATGAAATTTACTTTATGTTGCCAGCTTGTATTGAAATACCATTTTTTCATAAACATTAAGCTTTCAATTTAATTTCAGATGGAGAACAAAACAGAACTTGGATTATTGTTTTCTTATGATGTATGCCCAGAAAAAGGGAGTTTATTATATTCAGGTAAAATTTTCTTCTTTATTTTGAGACAAGTTTTCAAATTAGTCTCCAGAAATTATGTTTTTGGACACATCAGAAGGACCTACACACAACAGAGAACTTGATCCCATGATTTAAAGAGAGCATTAAGTATGGTGGTTATGGTATATGGGAAAGTAATTTGAGGAGGATACTGCCTCACTGTCTCTGAAGCAGAAAGTAATTTATCCTATGTCACTTCTCTTAAGAGGCCTAGCAAAAAAAATGAAGGAATCCAAGCAGCTTAACTTAGCTGTTTTTAACTTGTCCCTGAAATTAATTATTGTTGAGTTCCCTAGGCAAAAAAAATCCAAAAAAACCAAAAAAACAACTCCATAGTTTTAGTGGGAATGAAGCTAAAATCTATTTTTATTTTGTTTTGAGAGTGCAGTGTCACTTTAATATGACTGTTGTGTATAAACACGGAACTTTTCTTTTTTAAGAGGTTTCTAACAACAGAGTTACATAGTTCATCTTCACTTTAGCTCAGAATTGTTCCTATCATGTGTTTCTGCTTTGAAGTAGACATCTTACCTACAGGTATTGCAGATTTAGTAACTGCACTAATGATCTTTATTTAGACTTTGTGCCTGTGTCCTTGGGGTGTAAAGTCCCACACATCTCATGTAGTTTTCTCAAAGCTATGCTGACTCCTCTCTCAGGGCTGTTGGAGTCTCAGCTCTCTGGGAAGCTGCAGAGCCAACAGCATGTGACAGCCTGCTTTGATACTGGGGAGTTGCACAAATATTAGTGCCAGCACAAGGGGGAGGGCATGACTGCACTGTGAGAAAGGACAGGAGAAGCAGGATCCCTAATGCAGCAGTGCCCTGCACTTACTGTGAGTTAAAGGCACTGCAGCACCCATGTGGGCAGCTCTGGACTAGGGGATATGGACCATGCACCTGTGCTGCTGTTGGACAGGTGAAATGAATCCTGCCCCTGCAGATATTGTGTCTCTTAGCCTCTTGTCTCAGAGGAGGAACTCTTTCAGTGCTCTTACCTTTGTGAGTCAACACTCGCATTTGTGTGGACCATGCACCTGTGCTGCTGTTGGACAGGTGAAATGAATCCTGCCCCTGTCCTCTTGTCTCAGAGGAGGAACTTTCAGTGCTCTTACATTTTTGAGTCAATATTCACATTTGTGTACAAATAATACAGATATTGAACTGGTTCTGATGATGCCACTTAGACTAGCATTATTTCATGGATGTTTTTCCTTTGAAGAAAAAAGCTGGAAAAGCAGTGTTCTAAAGCAAGAAGTTGAGATATGTTTGTGGATTCTTACTAGTTTCTGTATTACTTTTCCACAAGAATTCTGTATTAGTTCTCCACAAATAGACAGACTGATCCCTACAATAGCTATTCCAGGCTATGGCATCTATGATCAGTGCTAGCATTAGAAATACATGGCTATGTGTTAACAATATATTATAAGTCAGTATTTCCTAGCTGTACTTTTTTCTATTGCTCTACTAGTGCTTTTTTTTTTAATGTTGATGTCACTTCTACCTTCCTCTAGCTTGAAGATGACATTGTTGTCAAGCAGAATTATTTCAGCACAATAAAAAATTTTGCACTTCAGCTTGCTTCTGAAGATTGGATGATTCTAGAATTTTCTCAGCTGGGTTTCATTGGTAAGAAAATGTTCACTTTTGCGGTTTGAAAGAACACATTCATACTCAGATTGTGAATTAATAGTAATCTGGCTTCAAAGATATCTTCTTTGTACTGGAAATAGACCAAGAAGTAGAAATGTATTGCCTTTTTTAGGAACTCTGGTTTAGCTCATGGTTGTTGCTTTTGCCCCTCACTTTTTTATGATGGAGGCAAACTCAAACTGTTGGAAAAGAGAGAAATTTTATAACCAAAAGTTAATTTATAAAAATACTAACAATCAAACTGCAAGGCATGATGTATGTTTAATTTAGCTGCTGTTAAAATGAAAATGTAATTCAAACATAACTGACTGAAATAAAGAAAAACCATGAAAATTAACTCCACCTAAAATAACTTCATTGGTGTTTGTGCCAAAATTTCCAAGAATTAGCAGGCATCAGTTTGTTGCAAAGCCTGTTCTATCTCCATCTTTCTACTTCATGAAGGAAAAGTTATGACAATCTGTTCCTTCATAGATGCAGTCAGAGTCTGTCATTTGCAATGAGCAGCAGTGAGAGGAGTTAATGCAGGATCTTGGGTTGTGGGTCAGCTGTCAGGGTGCTCTGGAAATTATGGTTGTTCTTTGCTCTTACATTACTTACACTAGCATCTTTTCATAGAGAGATACTGGACTTAACAGAAAAACAACGATAGAGAAATTTGGAGGGATTTTACAAATCAAAAGGTTATTTCATTACTGCACTGATGTGTCATGATCTTTTTAAAAGCAGCAAGCTAGAGATATGCAAGGAAAAATCAAAAGGTGGAGCAGACTTTGGAGATTCCTGTGGCCAACACAAATGATTCCAATATGAAGGCTGTTGAGTTCAGAACAGAAAGAAAATCCTGTGTGTAACAGATAAAAGTGCAGTCCTAAGTTCTGTCATTCTCTTGGAAATTCTTGTTCTCTTTCCTTTGGATCTAACTGCCAGAGAATGGCTTCATTTTTAGCTCAGTGACCCTTAATGGTTGTACTGAGACCTGAGAATGTTGGCACTACTTGAATAAATGCTGTCCTCTTTCCAGCTCAGCATCAGGTGTGCAACAGTTCCCTGACTTTGGGGGTCTCAGAGGTTCCTGAATAGAAAGGAAAACAGTAATTATCCCTGCTACATGCTGTTAGGGTACAGAATGGTACTTTGTAGACTTGCCTACCAGTTTCATCTACAGAAACAGTGGGGAGGAGGAAAGGAAATGGGCAGAGTGAAGTCTCCTTATGCACCTGGCCATCACCTAACTGCTTTGGGCTACCATCAGAGATCCACTGTTGCTGGAATAATTATGGAATTGGTTCTGTGGGAGAAATAGGAAACTATGCTGCCTAGCATGGAAAAATAAGAAGTAGTTCACTGACATCTTGCCCTAAATGAACTTGTCCTTGGTTGGGGAACTCCTTGCAACATTCTGTTATGTGTTAGCAGGGACTAGTTGAATACAGCATTTGATACGACTTTCTTTCTACTGTTGAACAGTTAAACATTAACCCAGACTCAGCCCACAATTTGAGTTTTAGCTCCAGTCTAATTGCACTTTTAGTGTAAATTCTGTATGGAGTTCTTGGGCTATAGAATTTGCATCTATTCTACATTTGCCTGATTTAGTAGTAGAGTGTGCTCGCTTACAAATTGCCACTTCTCAAGAATGACACATCAAATGTGCATAAAACCAAATGTGCATAAAACCAACTTACACTTTAGGATGTGTGCTGTCTACCCCATGCAGTTGTATTTCAGGTCACTTAACTTGCTTAGTATTTGTGTATTTCACACCCCCACCCTTTCTGTTCTCTGTGCTGTTGCAGAGGACACAGCGTTTAAGTCTGGTGGGGTAGGTAGGTAGTTCTTAATACTGAGACTTTGCTTAATCAAAAGCACAACTGTTTAAAAATACCTTGTTTTCTATACTGTCTGTATACTTCTGGGCAGTGTGGGCTCTGAAAGTAGCTGTAGTTAAATTTAGTTGTTAGCTCCTGCTGCTTGCATTCCTGTTCTTTGTTCCTTGTCTCATATTTGTTTGCCTCCTTTTAACTAGATGATATCGGTAGAATTTCAGATGCATTTAGCTATGGCTACAGATCTTAACGTTGCTTTTCTGCCTAGAAAATTAAATTAGATTTTTTTTTCTTCTTCCAATATAGCTACTTATTCTGTTTTTAAGCTTTGAGAAAAAAATTAGTATTCATAAGAGCAACTAAAACTTTTGGCTCTGGTACACATTGGTGTGCTATAACCATATATTGCTTGGAAATTTTATGCAAGTAATGTAGATTTTTCTCATCTCTGCTATCCCTTTATGGATCTTGATGCAGACTGCTACTGTGGCAATTTGGTAATGCAGATACCTTTGGGAAGAGCAACAGTAGTTTGTAACTGGGGATCAGTTTTACATGTAGAGCACTCAATTCACAGAATCATGGAATGGCCTGGTGTGGAAAGGACCTTAAAGAGCATCCAGTTCCGACCCCCTGCCAAGGACAGGGACACCTGTCCCTGGACCAGGTTGCTCAGAGCTCCATCCAGCCTGGCTTTGAACACTTCCAGGGATGGACCATCCACAGCTTCTCTGGGCAACTGTTGTCTAGATGCTACTAGAAATAATCTCTCAAAAAGAGAGGTGTGGTTGATTCACTGTTAGCTGTGGGAAACCTTGTTTAGCTTGCAAGTTCGCGAGGTAAAAATGTGGGATTTTTTGTCATAGTGTATTTCTGAACTGAAAATCTAATTTATGCAAGTGCTACATGAGGAAGTGGCAAATGTAGCTATTTAGGCTGACAGCAGGATTATAGAATTCTGTCACCTCTGCCACAGAACAGACGTTGCTTCCTTTGGTTTTTTTTAATCTTGAAAGCATAGTCTTAAGTGCTGTCAAGTATCTAATAAATAATGGGTGAGATGTATGCTGTTTCCTTAAGAAGCTCTGTGGAAGGAGATGTATCTTTTACTCTTCTGGATTCTTGTTTGCACTGAGAGACCTGTGACACAATGTAGGAAAGTCCTACTAGTTTTTTATGAGGAATAATGATTTCTCTTCCAGCTGCCTGTGAGCTGAAATGTTTCCCAGAGGAACTGCAATCCTTGCACTGCACCTATGATGCCAGCTGTCACAAACATTACATGGAGTGGCCTGAAATGGCCTTTGGTTGTCTTACACAGCTCCTCTGAGTCTTATTGTGCCCTGATGCTTTAAGGCCTGTTGATTTGATTATTTTAAGTTGTTCTGATTGCAGTTTTGCTCAAGCTGTGCACATAGTTGAAGTTTGGGAAAGAGTAGAGCAAGTCAAACATTTGAGCTTTAAATAACTTCAAAGAAATTCTGGTTTTAATGCCAGCAATTTGCATATCATTACCAGGGAAAGCATTGAAAACATCAGCTATAGCTTGAATATGTGCTTGCAGGTGTAAAATTATTGTTGGTGTAGACTCAACATTAGTGATGCTGATGTGGAAGAATTAAAATTATTTAGATAGTGGCAGTTCAGAGAACTAGAAAACAAAGTGTTTCATTTTGTATGTGCCTTGTATTTGCCAGCAAAATACTGAGATGGCCAGAATAATTCACTAAGGATGGCCTTTAAAAGGACTGAAAAATGAATAGAAGTCTTGTCAGGGCACAGTAAATCAGAAAGTGTTCCACAGATTTTGGGTGTTTTTCAGTCCTGATCATCATTTTTATCAATATAGATAAATAATTTTGAGAAAGTCTGTGTTTTGTATCTCTAGGGTTTTATGGAGCAAAATTCTACCTTTGTCACTTAATTCTTTCAGATTTTGAAGTTGTTTCACAATGGTAGGTTGCATGTGCCCAGAATCCAAAAGCTCTGAAGTTTTGTCACAGTGTTCTGGATTTATGTCTGTTCCCATGTACTGTACCAAGTGCATTTACATGGTGCAAGATGAGCCATTGCTCCAGTTCTTTCACAGTTTGCAGTTTGAGGCAGTGTGTGCTCACTGCAGTGTTTTGCTTTGGTCTCTTTGGCTTGATGATTTTTGACTGCACATTGGGGATGGCCAGTGGGCAATCCCTGGGTTGGATTTGGGTGGTGTCTGAGTGTTTCTGTGGCTCACAGCACTTTTCTCATATGCTGCTGCATGGCAGCTGTAGGACAAGAAGGACCTCAGCAAATGTTGCTGCTTGTTCTTGGGCTGTGGCTGTTCCCTAGGGAAGCCAGGCTGGTGCTGCTGCTGCTCTTGGTTAGACAAGGGCTTGGTTGGTTTGGATTCAGAGGGGCTGGGTGTTGGATCTGCGCAGTAGGAGTTGTACTGAGCTAGTTTCCATTACAAAGACTAGGTGTGGCCAGTCCGGGATCCAGAGCTTTGATAACCTGTTTAACCAGAGACTTCACTGCAGAGCTCTGGTTTTGAGAGACTGTTCTGATGGAAAAAAAGGGGACATGGATCTGTGGCAGAACTGCTGTGCAGGTGGTGTCCTGAGACAGAAATGACAGATGAGTGAGGCAACGTTATAGAGAGGGGCTGGGGCCAAGCTGTGTGTGGAAGGTTGTGACAACATTTCAGAAAGTGGTATGGGGATGTCTGTCCTTGGTTACTGATGGAAGACAAGGGCTTGTCTTGGGATCAGGGTGTTTCCTGTTCACTTTTGTTATGGTGTTCATTAAGAATTAATGTGAGAAGACTTTGTCTCCACCGTTGAACACTTCCATGGTGCTGTGAGTGTAATGCAGAGAGGCCACTTGTGTGTAAAGATGCCAGTGCAGGTACAGCTGGCTCACCTCTCTTATTCTGACTAGCTGCAGTTGGATGTGTCAGAGTGGCTTGGTTGGTTGGTTTGGTTTTCTGTGGTTTGTGGGTTGGTTGGGTTTTGTTTGCTTGGTTGGTTGGTTTGGTTTTTTGTGGTTTGTGGGTTGTTTGGGTTTTGTTTGCTTCTTTGCTTTTCCCTGCTGTGCCCTGTGACATCACCATGGCAATTAGATTATTCCCCAAGTCTAGGGTGGTTGATTCATGGTGGGCAGTAGAGTGCTTGCCTAGAGGAAACTGCCTCTGAGCCTAGACAAGTTTTCCATATGGAGGCAAATAATACACTGATATTCTGCTTATATTTATATAAAATTAGGTTAACTTAAATTAGGGATAAGAGTAAATTCCTACTCTTGCCTTCAGTCTTGTTCTCAGTTTACTTAATTGTAGGATCCTGTACTTTCATGCCAAGCTCTCAGTGACATGGTCTGTGAGTGAGGATGGGACAATAATCCTTATGTTCTCCAGAAGATGAGCTAGTCACAGGAAAAAATGTCCGTGTGATTCTTCTGCTCTGTCCTTGGGTAGAAGAATAAAAGGATTCTAGAGCATCATGGCTGTGTAAAGATCCTGGAAGAGGCATTGAGATTGGGGCAATATTGTGGGGATATTTCTGTCTTCTGACACTTATCATATTGTCCATCTCTCTGACACCACATGGAAAGGTGCACCTTGTATGGAAACAGAAGTGGCTGACAGACTGCCTCAGCAGCTGTCACCTAGAAATGATGGTTTCAGTCCCATAAAAATCCCAGAAACATCTGATTAGTCCCATTTTTTAGCTGATGTTTTACTAGGGCTTACCATATTTTTCTCCTCTCCTGCCCTATGCCATTGAAAGCAGTAGGCAGAGATGAATCACCAGGAAAATTGGGGTCTGTTTAGTTGGAAGTCTGACAAGCTGAAATCTGTTATTCAGCATGACTATTTTACACCACATTTAACTAATCATATGATTGTTTCCTACCCATTTTTAAATATTTACTTCCACGAATAATGTTAAACAATGTGACAATATAGTGTGTAAATACTACAAATGTACTAATAAAAATAATAGCATCTTTCTGATGTCTTTTGTCCCTAGCTTAGTAAGAGTTGTCTCTTGTGTAGTGGGAGTTTCAAATTTTAGTTAGAGTATTTTCATGTGGAGATACCTATTTGAGGACCTCATTACAGCAGCAACTTAAAAGTGATGACAATATTTTGCTTTGTAAAGGGCTGGATGAAAAGTTTCTGTAAGGGACAACGTTGATATAGCAATGTCAAATCAGTTAATGTTTTATCACATTTACTTTTCCACCCCAGTGTGTAAATTGTCTACTATAATGAGTATAACATCATTCTAACAGGTGAAATAATTGGTACTTTAGTCAGATGCTTCTTCCATATATGTTGCATGGCATTATGATGTAGTCTAACTCAGACACCTCCAAACTGTGCCCAGAGTTTCCATTGAGTATTCTTGCATTGGTTTTGTTCTTATCCAATTTCACACAAGTCAGAAAGAAAAGAGATTGCATCAGATCTACTTTCTGAAAAGGGCAAGGCTCTTCCAGTGATCTCCTCTTAACATCTACTCCAGCTGGTTTTCCTAAGAGTAGGAGAAAATATTAGAACCTCTACCACTTGTGGAACTTGTTATTTAGAAGGTCTATGGAGGCCTTTTCACAAGTGGAAAAAAACCCTCAAAACATTGCCCGTGCCTGAGTGCTGTGTGTCACTGTGTTGTACAGGATTCCACAATGTGAATAGACAGAAGACTTGCATTGGAAAAGAGCTTCTCTGGACTCTGATCCATTGGTGCACACATGTTCCAATAGCCCATCCCTGTTTAGTCCAGCACTGCCCACATCTCAGCACCATCTGAACTGAATAATTTCAGCTGATGTCCTCCTGAGAGATTCATTGTTACAAGATATCTTCCTTGCTTTCTCTGTTGTAACCTAGCAAAGACTTCAGACTTCATCTGCCAACCTGGTGATGTTTTCTGAATCTGCCTTGAAATCTGGAACTGCCTTTGGGATTTTAGCTGGCTTGTGGTCATAGAACCATTTTGGTTGGAAAACACTTCAAACATCGTTGAGTCAAACCACTAACTCAGCCCTGCCAAATCTACCACTAAACCATGTCCCCAAGAGCCAGATCTTTTAAATACCTCCAGGGATGGTGCCTTAAGCATTCCCCTCAGCAGCCTGTTCCAGTGCTTCAGTGCAGTCCCTGGTACAAGCACTTGTCAGTCTGTCTTCAGCCTTGGACTGCCCCACTGCCAGTTGTGTTGCTCCTGCGTGTTTTCATGCAAGGCACCTTTTTCAAGTGTTGCATTCCGATTGGCACAGTAGCCCCATGTACTGGCCACCTTTCTCTTCAGACACCTCTACTGCCAGAGGAGTGTATTCCACAGCCATGTAGGTGATTGCTCATATTGATAGTATATTGATATAATATTGATATTATATGGGCTTTCTCCATCAACAGCGAGTTTCCTTCTTTTGCAAAGGTCTCCTTTAAGCCTCACAGTCTGCAGGATTCCCAAGAATCCTTTTGCACAGTGCCACCCAGAAGTCCTGCTGATGGCCTGTGCACTGCAGAAAAATACTCTGGTCACTGTGGGATGTCTCTTTTTGAGTTGCATTGTCTCTGGATATATTTTGGTATCTTCCTTCTTTCCCTTTGATTTTCTGCCCAGAAGGTTCTGAAGTTAGTGGTAGGTGTTGCATCTCTGCTTTCTGTACCTGCAGAAGATGAAGCTGTGTGACTGGGCAGAAAACCTTGCAGTACTCCTTGCCTCAAGTGCTTGAACTTACATATGGCATGGGGAATAATGCCCATGCCAATCCATAACTCTTCTTTTTCTTAATATTTCAAACTGACAATTTCTATTCTTAAGGAGACTTGTGGTACATTGAATATACACTGAATATTTTGATGGCACCAAGATATATGACAAGTTCTTGTTTGAATAGCTGTTGTATTTAGTTGAAAGGTATGGAACTTTTAATAACATTGAAATTTCAAGTTGTTCAGTGCTAATGTATTTCTTGCCTTGGCACAAATATTATCATCTGCTATCTCATTTGTTTCAAAAGACAGTGTTATCTCTAATCTAAAGTAACTCCAGTTATTCTTAATGTCACCCACAGGTAAAATGTTCCAGTCTCCAGATATCACTCTTATTGTAGAGTTCATATTTATGTTTTATAAGGAGAAACCTATTGATTGGCTCCTGGACCATATCCTCTGGGTGAAAGTGTGTAACCCTGAGAAAGATGCTGTAAGTTTGTTTTTATTATAAAGCTTCTAAAATGTTTTTGTGATGATGAATGAGTTGATTTTTGTGAGCTGAAAGCCAGCATAGTGTACATTATGGTTACTGCATGATGCTCTGGAAGAGTTTTTCTTCCTGCCAAGATTTTTATCTCAAAAAGAACTTTAGAGGGACAGTTCTCAGGGGCATCATAGCTGTTATTGCTTCAGATTTTGGAGATGGGTGCAGTAAGGATAAAAAGTAAAAGTCTATTAAGATTCTATGTGTAACAGACCTAAAATAAACTTATACATGTTACCACCAGAGAAGCTCTGCAGGATATCACAGTCTTGGAGAAAGTTCCAAAAGGGGAATAAACTTCATATTTTAGTTCTCCATTTCTCAAGAGACTCCCTTGCTGAATAAACAGGTTCTGTGCAAGGACCTTGAACAGTATTACTTAAGCATAGATTTCTGAAATGGTAGATTTCTGAATCTTGGTAGATTTCTGAAATGAAAACAAGAAAAACTGGATAAATAGGCCTAGGTTCTTACCTTGTGTTGGTTTTTACTAATATGTTGTTTTGTTTTTGTTTTTTATCCCACCCTTACCTTTTCCCCTCACCATTTCAGAAACATTGTGATCGACAGAAATCTAACCTACGGATACGCTTCAGGCCTTCTCTTTTCCAGCATGTTGGCCTCCACTCTTCTCTAGCAGGGAAGATCCAGAAACTCACAGTTAGTAAAAAATATTTCCCTTCCTTTACAGTGCAGGCTGATTAAATGAAAAACCTTGTGGAGAAAACAGGCCTTTTCTTGTTGTCTTGCATTTTCAAGCATGATGTGTATTGCTCCAGCTGGAATTAAATCTGATACAGACTGGTTGCCGTAAAGTAGAAGTGCTAGTCCAGCTTATTTATGTGGATTTTTGCTAGGGGATATTTTTTCTATTTTTTTTATTTTAATGGAACGCCCACGTTACTGAGCAGTACAAGATCTGATGCACCCAAAATGAGTAATGCATTCATTTTCCATTTTATGCCAATGTTTGTTTTAAGTGTAACCACTTGGGAAAGGAGCATAATAAACAAGGTTCTCTGACCATCACGATGTTTGTCTGTCTTTCAATTAGGATAAAGACTTCCTGAAACCATTACTGCATAAAATCCACGTGAATCCACCTGCAGAGGTTTCGACATCTTTAAAAGTCTACCAGGGGCATACGCTAGAAAAAACCTACGTAGGGGAAGATTTTTTCTGGGCTGTCACACCAGTTGCTGGAGATTATATTCTCTTTAAATTTGACAAGCCAGTCAATGTAGAAAGGTTAGTAATTACTTGCTGCTGGTCTCATATATGAAGTTGCTTGTGCCAAGAATGCTTTAAGGTAGAATTTGGGGCTGTCATCATAACCTAAAGTGAAATGGTGTAGGACATTTGGAGTTCAGCTGAAACAGTGATCATTACTGTCTTCCCTCTAATTCTTTTACTATGGTGAATTTTATCTTGCTTTTAAATTTTCTTTTTCATTTAATATGGAGCCTTTTTGAAAAGTGCAATACAAAACCAGTGCTTCTCTGATGCAGAGAATTTAAAGAAGCCAATTTGGTCCTATTTGTATTTGGTTAGTCTGTTTCTAATTACAGAGCAATTGTACAGCATGGTGTGTGCTACAGTGTATTGTGCCCTGTGGCCTTGGTCCCTTGCTTGTCCAGATCAGAAATCTTGCTGGAGCATATAAGGATGTCCCCAGACCTGAAAGCTGGGGACTCTGAAGGGCAGTGTTTTTTAAGATGTAGATTTAGGGCTTGAAACAAGTCACTGTACTAAGATTCCAGGTTGACCTGTTTAAAAATATTAAAATACAACAAAAAAAGAAATCAAAATACAAATATCTGAGATCTGATGGAGGACTAAAGGTGTTACTAAGATTCCAGGTTGACCTGTTTAAAAATATTAAAATACAACAAAAAAGAAAGGGGTGTGTGCTTTCATAATACAAATATCTGAGATTTGATGGAGGACTAAAGGTGACTTCTTTTCAACTACTGGTCAGATTAATTAAGGGTAATCAAGAGTAATTAGGACTGTAGAGATTAATCATCCTTTAGTTTTCTTGAGACTCTTTTGCTGCTTTGCTGGTTACTGTCTCACCAACATACTAATTCAAGATTTATAAAATACATGGTTTATTTAATGTCCAGTTAAGTGTTGCTATGTTAGTGGATTCCTCTTCTCCTTACTTCACACACCTTATGTGGGTTTTTTTTAGACCAATACCTATAGCCTGGTAGAACAAAGTTTCTTTGAATCAATTTGACTGGATATTTTTCTTGTGAAGGAGACATTTTTGCTGTCCTGAACTGAATCCAATTAGTCAACTTGGGTACCTTGGTACATAATCAAAGGCTAAGTCTTCACCTTGGCTTAGAACAACACTGAAGATCAGTAGTTCCCTTGTGACTATGTTGTTCCAAACTAGTCTGACCTGAAACTCAAGGTTGTTGTTTGAGATGTCAGATTACTCTCTCAGTTGGTTGCTATGCTTTGAAACACTTCCCTGGTTGGCTTTCCAAGGTGCATGTGTGGAGCAGCATAACTGCCACACCTCCTTGGATTAAAGGCAAAATATTTTTTCTGTTCTAACAGTTGAAAAAATACATTTTTTTATGCCTGCTGCCTTAATGCTGAAGGGAACTAGGGGAATTAGAAAGTACTAATTATCTTTGTAAAAGGTGGGAAAATAATGTTCACTGTTGTGCCCTGGAAAATTGTAGCCAGGCCTAAGGTAGTTATGTCCACCTGCTGTGTGAGGAATAGTCTTGGCTGTAGAGGATTATATGTTTTGTTTTTTGGGGGGAAGAAGTGGGGTTTTCCAGGCTCTTGGGTTTTTTTGGTTTGGGGTTTCTTTTGTTTGTGGGGCTTTGTTTTGGGGGGGTGGTGTTTTTTGAGGGGGGGTTTGTTTGGTTTTCTTTGTCCTGGGAGGTTTTGTGGTTGTGTGTTTTTTGTGGAGGTTTATTGGTTTGTAGGATTTTTTTGTTTTGTTTTGGGGATTTTTGTGTTGGTTGGTTTGGTTTTTTATTTGGTTGTTTGATTTGGGGGTTGTTGATTTTGGTTTTTCCTTGTTGGTTTTGATTTATTATTTTTATTTTTTGAAGAAATGCATTTTAGTTTTAGAAGAAAGGAAACATCTTGCATTCTGTTGCTTCCTCAAAGGAATTTCACAATTTTGTATGATGCTACCTATTCAGCTGTCATTGTAAGCCATTCCAAAGTTTACTATGACTTTTAGCTTCTATTGCCACAGTGTCCTCAAAAATACAGTATTTTACCTTTCTGAAGTCAGTGACTAATTAGATTTACAGATGTTGTAATTTCAAATTATTGGGGACTTGTTTGTGTAACTTGAGCAGCAGCTGCAGAATTTGGCAAGTGCAGGTCTAGTAGAGCAGTGGAGTTTCCTAATATTTCAAGGATGCTTACTGAAGCAGTCAGAAATACAACTGTGACTGGTAGACTGAAACACAGAAAAAGGAAAATGGACCAAGCATGAGGAAGACTTACCTGGTGGGGAAATGCATCTGAAGGTGGGAATTAAGAGAACACACTTTTGATAGCAATCTTGTGTCTGTGAAAAGATGCAGCAGGCTTTTTCTTTTTTCTTTTTCTCTTTTAAATTTTAGAAGAGCTCTTTGAATTTAAAGGAAATTTTGTCTGCCAAGTCAGTTTGAGGTAACTGCTTAGTAACTGTCATAATAAATTTGTGATGAAGTTTTTTAATGGAAATACTGACCACAGCTCTGACTGAATAAATAGCACATCTGTTGCTCTGTGACAGAGCACTGACTTGTTCCTGTAGTTTATTTTTCCACACTAAATGTTTTGCTGAACTGAATTTGAGTTTTCTGCAGTTCAGTAATTAGCTTTCATTAAGTCTTTAAATATTTAATTTTTGAGATCTGAGAATATTGTCAGGGATAACACTGTCAAGGATCTCTTAACTTAAAGTGAGAACTGAGCTCACTTCACTGAGCAGAAAGTAGCATTTGTTCCTATTTTATGCAAGACCTGGCTGGCAGATTCCTGCTGAATATTGAGCAGTCAAATAGATGGTGCTTGTTCTAAACCACACCTGGAGAACAGGAACATGTAAATTGAAACATTCTAATGCTTACTTTGGTGACAGCTCTTGTACTGAAGCTTTCTAGGTTCTTTCCAAGCAAAAATTCTCCAGCCAAAACACCCAAGTCCCTTAATAGTAATCTAGGGTCTCATCCTTTGCAATAAGAAAATATATACATTTCTTTCAGTAAAAAATCATTGAGAAGAAAAGTAGATTGAAGGAGATTCCTCTTAAAAAAAAAATGCTTAAGATATGTTTGGTTTTGGATGGTTTGTTTTTTTGTTTTTTTTTTTTAATAAAGGGATGGACCGTTCTCTAAATGTTCAAAACAGCCTACATTGTAAAGATAAATAATATTGAATGTCTGTGCCCTCAGGTTTTTGCATAATTATTGAAATTCACTTTGCTGTTTTGGCATGTACATTGCTGTTCCAAGCACAGATTTATTTATTAAATCTGACAGTCATATTTAAGAGTTTCTTTGAGCCAGTCAAAACACATCTGAGAAAGACATTCCATTGCAGCACTTAGGTGATGCTGATGTCCATCATCATCACAACCATTTCTTTTTTGACCAAAGTCCTCCCTGTGTGATTGACACAAATCAGATGTTGTTTTCAAAGAACATATGCACTAATTACTTTGAGAAGATTCTTTATACCTTGACAAACCACCTTGTAGATTGCATTTATCAGCTTGTGTTCTGATAGTGGCATAGATACTGGATGCATAACTTATGGCTGTTCTGCAATAGGAATTTAGAATGGGTATTTTTAGAAAGGGCTTCAGGTTTGCTTCAATATAAATGCATTTTAAATGATGACATTTATTTTAAAAGAAAAAAGCTGCAGGAAAAGACAAGTATGTATTTTATACTGTGGAAAAAATAAGAAACACTGAAAACCAAAACTCACCCCAATCTCACTAGAATACATACATACATTTGCTTTATATTTTTAAAATATGAGGCTCATTGTTTCTTGTATGTAACTGCTTCACAGAATCATCAAGGTTAGAAGAGACCTTCAAGGTAATCTAGTCCAACCGTCAACCCAGCACCCCTATCCCTAAGTGCCACATACAGTTGCCTCTTGGAAACTTCTTGAGATGGTGACTCCATCACCTCCCTGGACATTATTCCAATGCCTGACTGCTCTTTCAGTGCAGAAATTATTTCTGGTATCTAATCTGACCCTCCCCTGATGCAGCTTAAGGCCATTTCCTCTTCTCCTTTCCACTGACCCTCACCTGGCTCCAACCACAGGACTTGTGCTCCAGACTCTTCTGCAGTACTGCTTTGTAGTGTTACTTGGAATATTTTCAAAAGGATTAGCTGCTTACTTTTTTTCGGGGAGAAGTAATGTGGTTTTGCTTGTAGTATTGGGGTTTTTTCCTTCCTTTTCCCCCCATGACTCCTTTGAACTCTATAGTTGCCCCATAGCTGGTTGGCCTCTCCTTTTAGCAAATTACTGAATAGTCATCCTAATGTGACATTGACAATTAATGAAGTGATTTTATAAGGTACAACTTGCTGACTGGAATTTCAGTTTTAAAGTGGAATCTTTATACCTTGACAAACCTCCTTGTAGATTGCATTTATCAGCTTGTGCTCTGATAGTTGCATAGATACTGGATGTGCAGTATTTGAGACTGTTCATCTCATTATCTGTATTCTGGGCAGTGGAATCACAGGGAACACATGATGTTAACCTCACTCATATTTCCCGTGGCATCTTTTTACAACACAGAATTAATAGTCATGCAAGAAAATATATATTTGACTATTTAAACTACAAAATTAATGTATTGAGTGTGAATAGTATCTTGTTGGACTTCTGGTAACTAAAGATATACATTATTTTGTCTGCTTTGAAATTATTGTGACAGTGCTGAAAAATACCTGCACAAAAAATGACAGATGGGTTCATGATATTTTGTAAAGGAAAATAAAAGCAGCTTTTAAAACCAGTTCTCTAGCAGTGAAAAAGAAAATGAATTTTTTTTAAGTACAAGAAAGTTACAAAAAAAGTATCCTAGCAGTCTGTCTTGTATGTATCCAAAATATAATTAATTGTCCATCCTACAGGGATGCAAGTCCTCCTGTGGCTAGAGAGATACAAGATCAAATGCATTACATCAGGAAAAAACTTCTTAACAGCCTTCCAAAATTGGAAATGGAACTTCCTCATCATTTGCTTTTGCA